TTGAACAAGGACTCTCTTGCCCATTGAAATGAGGAATTGGCGTGTCCGGACGAGTTGTCTGAACTTGCTTGCTCCATGGCTCCACTGAGCCGCGAGTATTTGAATTATCCGGCGTGTCCTAATCTACATTGCGTTCCAAGAGGTGTGCGTAAGGTATCCCGTCCGTGAGTTCTCATTACCCGTCATTAGCTCACTTTGTAAGGCCAGTCGCGCATTTTCGAGCCGCGACAACGGCGATACTCGCGGCCTACTCTTTCCTTCCAAAATAAATTTTTGGAAAAGACATCAGCAGGGGTTGTTGCTTTGAGATCGAAGCAGCTGAAAAACTTGAATTGTGGAACTTTTTTGATGTTCGCAAATTTTTGCAGGGATCTAAGAAACGTCTGTTTGGATATTTCTAGCAATACCTGAAACCCCAAGTGAGATCCACCCTTCTTTCTAAAAATAAGCTGTCACTTCCGCCTAATAAGGCCCCAACCCTTCATCAGAGATAGTATAAACATGACCCACAAACGAAGGATTGCTCTTGTAGACCATTAGAGGATATAGCAAGCAGTTGCAGCTGCAATTCTTCACAGACTAGTGTACACCTAGCGAACACTCAACACTCTAGGCAGGTCAACCCTAACCTGACCAAGGCTACCATGTGCCCTAAAAGCGCCCTAATCTCCGAAAATGGTTTTTGCCTAGTACCTACCGGCACTATCTAAGGTTCAACGGGAGCACAGGAGATTCAGGTGATAGGATAAGCTCTTTGCACGCCTGCACGCCCACTGCAAGGCAGCATTTTCGTTCCTGCGAACAAGTCAACAAATAAGCAGTTCCGACACTAGATTGAGGGTTTCCTTGGGGTAAGTGAGATAGGATCCGCAGATAGTGTAGCAGCAGCTCCTGATGTCCTCGCTCCAGCATTTTTCGAAGGATATATGTGCTAAAAAGTTCACTTACAGCAGCGGTATTCATTAACACAACTACCGAAAAACCGCTCGGGTTCAGTGCCCGGCTAGGGCAGCGTATTTTGACAATAAAGAATCCTCGTGGAAAATTCGTATCACGAACTGCGACGAAAAACATCGGCAGTGAACAAAACAAAGGGATCAATTCATGTAAGCCAAGACTTTTATTTACACAACTTGTAAGACTGAGACAGTACTTTGAACTCAGGTGCATATGTTCAATCAGGAGCCCTACCTTATTACTTTCGAAGTTAAGTGTTTATACTGATCTCCCCGGTTCCCCCTACTCTGAGGAAGGCACGGCATATTTAAGCACCGCCCACTTATCGTTAATTCGCCGCCCACACTCCTCCTCCCCATCAGCGGCTACTCGCCCTTTGTGCAAATTTATGGCTCAACGAACCAAAAACCTTTTGTAATTCACTGTTGCTGGACTCTTTTTTTGAAAGTGACTACACACGCATATTCATTTGTTTATTTGTTTGCTTCTTATTTACTAGTTTATGCAAACAATCCTTCAATGAACGCCTTGTTTGATATGAGTAGGTCTTCTACTACTGATTCTGAAGACCACTGAATCCAATACGGCCAATAAACCAGTAGACCATTTTTACGTGAGTGTATAAGAAACCCTGGAAGGAATCAATCTCGTACAGCGGGTTTTGCTCTTCAATATTACAACAAATACAAAAATTTTTGCCAAAAAGTTGGGGGTGCGCTTTTCGGTTTTGTCTGCTTTCACAATCAATAATTGAAAATGTTCGAGTTTCTGAGGCTGAGTAGAAGAAATTTTGGTTTTTGGTGATTCTTACAAATAAATATTCATTTTTTTTTCAAAATTTGCGCAGTTCTGAATCCAGTAGATTGCCCTCAGTAAAATTAAGAATTAATTTTAGAACTCAAACATCTTAAATTTTGTATTGTACACCAGATGTATTGTGTATATAGTGTTTATTTTTGTATTTATAAATTGTGTTCCACATTTGCAAAGGACAACAAGTCTGTAAACACCTCACTACTTTCGTATTTTTTACGAAAACGGAGGTGGTTCTTAAACTGCTCCAAAGCGCTCTTACATTAGCTTACTAGGCCAAGGGTTCTTATGTGAATAGCGCCTCCTATAATTACTCTATTTAGACCTAATTTGGTAAGAACAGGTTTATGCTCTCTTGAAATCGTTCTCCGTGCGATCTTTAAGATTGCGAAAAACATTTACTGCTGCTGTCGTTCCAAGAAACAACTATATTACTTGCCACTTCTTATGAAAGAAATTTCGATTTCTCTTGCTTTGGCTGATGATTTTGCTGATCAAGGGATCCTTAGGTCAAAATTCATGTATTGCACTTTAATTATTACTCTGGCCTAATCGTTATATATCTTTGGTACTGCTCATTCACACAGTTACAACAGAAATACCTGTATTTTTTGGCTAGCGCAATGTTTTCCTCGTTCTCCACTTTTTTGGAGAGTTCCGAGTTATTTGTGAGAGTTCCAGTCTCTGGATTTTGGATTCCGAATTCGCTTTGATCAGATTATCGCCGTCGGCACATCCAGTTGCGCTATTTCCATTACTACCAAACGTTCTGGTTTTCGTGCACATACTTCACGCTGTAAAATTAGTCACAGCTTCCGTTCTGAACCAAAACTTGGCTCAGGCCAGGGTGCACCAGCTGTAGAGAATTCGGCTAAAACGACCCCTCCCAACGGCTTATATTATATCATAGTGTATTGGAAGAACGTTCTCGAAAATTTTGAAAAAAATCTCCCTCACCCCCCAAAAAAAGCCCTTGGTTGTAACAATGTTTCCTTTCCGCTCATTCCCAAAGCAGCATTCTAGAGGCTCGAATATTTCTAAAAGTAACGGGTTTACAACTTGTAATAAGACTGTACCTAACCTGCTAGCGGGTCGACTGTCCTGTTTATGCCCGCGGTTTGTTCGCAATGTTCTGTCAACATACCCAGTATCACTACATTGGTACCAGTTTGTTACACAGCACAATTATTATGTTCATTCTTTGCCACTTATTACTAAATTCCGCTACTTTTACAAGTAAGTAACCCGCGTCATCTTTTCCACGGCACATCTGGAACAACTATTCCACTAAGTGCTTGCCCATGAATCTTGTTCTGTGGTGCTGGCGCTCTTTGCGCCGAAAGCTACACACACTTCTCAACTCTTCATTTGGCGTATGCAAATTCGCGCTATCGGCGCTGACCCGAGCGGATTGCGTCCCGTCGGTGTCGCTTGCTATTATTACTTGATTTGCTGTGACGAATATGTTGATATGCAGGACTGCTGGCGATTTGGGGGGGGGGGCGTGAAGGTGAAATGGCACCCTATTGTCAGTTGTGGTTCTGGCACTATCACTGATAGATATTACTGCGTCTTAGTCATTATCAGTGAAATTCGTTTGAACTTGTAGTGCTCTCAGCGTTCCACTTCAGGTTGACCCGCTAAGGGTTTAATTTAGTTTCATTGATAAAATGTTATTAAACTGATGATAACTTGAAAAAAATAAATTTAATATTTAAGGAACCACTCCATTCATAAATGCCTCTAAATTCTTGAAATACGATTTTTTTGAATAATAAGAAATTTGTATTTTTAAATATGATCCTAACCGTAATGATTCGATAATTCCTACTGCCAGTATTCGTTCAGAGCTTAGGGTTGATCTATCAAATTAAGGCACTTCGAGAATGATTGTTATTAATTGTAATTACTTTACTCGATTGGTACGAGTTGATTCCTTGGGTCTCGTAAGAAGAGCTCATTCAAGCCGAGCCAGCCACTCTATTTATGGAATGGCTGTTGTTATTGCATATGCATAACTAGCCAATACGACTTGCATGAAAGATGTTCGAGTTAACCCCCTTGTAGAACCCTCATCCCGGTCTTAGCCCTGATCTTGGCCATGATACTACTCCTTATTTCTTACCCCCTTTCTCGAGAGCTGTCGTGATCCTTAAATATCTTTATTTGTCGATTTTGTAGCATAGTTTTTTTTGTAGAAGGGCTGCTAGCCCATACATCAACCCTTCTCCTCTTTCAAGCAACGGCGAAGTTTCTGTTCCTGGTACTTTCTCTATTTTATCCTTTCCTAATATTGTTCCGCCCCGGAGTGTGTAAAAACAATGTGAGGCTCCAAAATATTTATTAAAGAAGGCTCGAGACAGCCTTTTGTAACAAATATTTTGGATTTATTTATAATTTTTTCGAGTCTTTTGTAATGAATATTTTAGAGCCTCACAATGTTTTTGCACTTTTCCTTTTGCTTTACATCATTTTTTTACTTCGTTTTTTCATATCTTCAACACGGAACTATTTATAGAAATACTGTACAAACAAATTCTTCATATCTATGTCATTCCTGGCTCCCTGGGTGGGTTTAAGCGTAAGATGGCTGCAGTTCTATCTGATATGAAATCTAATAGTTCCTTGAGCAAAACCGCTTTTTTTATCATGTTTCATGCTTGTCGAAGCTTTATACTTTTCTAGTATAGTTCTGGTGTTTTACTTTGCAGGTTTTATTTTGCATAATTTTATAGAGCCACTTGGTTGTGCTCGTTTTCGTTCGGACTCTTACACTGGTGTGCAAAACTTAAGGACGAGAAAGATGAAGTATCATAACCTTTTAGCTTTGTGGACCGTTTAAAGCCGATGTCAGACTTTGCGATTCGCAAAGTCTTGACATCCGCTTAACGGTTCCTGTTAACTGCTTTCTTTAGTGCCCTGTGCAGCTCTTTGTATGTGTGGTTAGGTTCCATAGAGTCATGTTACGCGCCAGTAACACGTCGTTGGAAAAGCTACGTTCGTCCCTAAGTTTTGCACACCAGTGTATGTTGTTGCGTATGATTGTTTGTTCTTTATTACGTATGCCTTAACAACGTAATAACATAACATAATAGCATATCTTTCTAATCCCTTCTTTCATATTTGTGATATTTTTCTCTTCCTTTATTTTCTGTTGACATCAGTAGTGTTGTGGTTGAAACATCTGTTCACAACCATATTGAAGGAGAGTTTTCAGAACCTGAAATGCAATGTGGTCAGTCTATGTTGTAGTCCTGCAGGCAGTATCTGCGTTACGAATGGGTAGGTATACTGTTTGATTTTACTAAACTT